CAAAAACAAAAAGACTTCCCTGAAATCTCAAAAGCTTTAAGAGTAATCAAGGACTTTATAAAGCCCCTTGCTTGAATTCCTCAGCTCAGTTGGGTTAAAGTACCATATGTGTTTTGGAAACAGATTTCTTTGAATTCACAAGAAAGACTGTGGAAGTCCAGGGCTTGGATCAGTCCCTGAGGAAAGCTTAAACCTATTCAGCTGCTATGGTTGAGAGGTTGTCCCATGGAGGGTATGGTCTTGAGCAGAGTGATTTATGATGAAACTCTGTGGACAACCTGTGGCTCATATACATTTTGGTCACCTTCTGTGAAGTGGAGTTGAGCAGAATCAGTTTCTGGAGGGTTCGTCCTGTTTCTATTTTGTTTAAATTCTTATGGGTATATACGTAGCTGAGTTGATGAAAAGTTACGTACAGGTAATGCTTTATTTTGTAGACTTTTGTGGCAATCCATTCCCTCTTTCCTTGCCTGCAGAAATCTGTTTCTATTAATCTGGACTGATAAAAAGGACTTTGAGAAATACTGTACTGTCAAAAACATGCATTGCATTTTATGGTGTCATATTTGGTTTTCATTAGTGCCTTCAGACAGAATGCTGTAGCTTTTCCTTGGTCAGAATTATTTTTGTAGCTCACCTATGTGGTAAAAGGAGTGTGGAGAGAAAAAAAAATTTTGCTCACTGAGGACTGTTCTCTTTCCTTTCTTGATGTAGCATCAGCATCCTCCATTCAGAATGCTGTTGCAAAGATCATTTTCTTAACCTGTCACTTTGTTATCCCTGTCTTTGCAGCCCTCCACTGCCTCCCCCTTCACTAGTGCATCAAACATAAGCTGTTTGTATTCACTATCAAGATCTTGAATCTCACCTCTGATCAGCGTATGATGCCAGCCTCCATTGTCCACTTACTGATTTTGCAGATAAGCACTTTTGTGCTTTCTCCCATGCTGCCCCTCATGCTTGGGAGGGGCTCCCCATAAATATCCTGAAAGCTATATCTTTGTCCACTTTCAGAACCCTCCTGAAAACTCTCCTTTGTCATGATGTCTACAATACACTTGACAATGGTTAGGCTGCTGGTGTGCTGAGATCACTTCCTATTGTGGTGACCAGTAATGTCTCACTGTTTCCTTGTGAGTCTGTCTGTCTGTATCCCTCTGTTACCTCTTGTCTTATACTTAGACTACCACAACACTGCATAATCTTTCTCGCCAACAGAAGTCAATCCAATAAAAGATATTACTTTGCCCGCCTTGTCTCTCTTATACTTAGATTGTAAACTCTTTGGGGCAGGGATCATCTTTTTTGTTCTGTGTTTAAACAGTGCCTAGCACAATGGGGTCCTGGTCCATGACTAGTGTTCCTAGGCTCTGTGGTAATAATAATAAGCACAGAATGTATATTCCTTCCACTGTCCCACTTTTGGAATAAGACATTATTCATCCTGCCTATTCTGCTCCGTTTTAAAACATGCAGATTAGAAGGAATAGTCACTTAATTTTCTTTGTTCCTGAATCAGTGGGGGGTGAACTTTGATCTCCATTGGACTTTATTATCTTATTGTATTCTATGATCTATACTGGGGAGGATATGTTATCAAATCCTAGAGAAGGATAAGAAATTCTGTGAGGTCTAAAAAGTATCTACCTTGCAAGGGAGATATGCTTGGGAAGAGAAAGAGAGATGTTTCTACAGTGACTCTAAATGACCCCTAAATTCTGGGGTTTTTTTAATAAAAAAATAATGAAATGTAATGTAGAAAAATTAATGTAAATATCTCTTCAGTAAATCTAGCATGAATGAAACTTAGGGCTTGTCTACACTACTCCATAGTGCAGACTATGAGGGTGTGAGTTGCGCTTAAACTGCCCTGTGTGAATGTTGCTGGCAAGAACGAAAAGGTACTGAGTTTGTGTGCAAATCTTTGTGCTCTGCAGTTCACACCCCTGTAGTCAGCACTACAGCTCAGTGTAGACATAACTTGTCAGACATGTTTGCTGATTATTTGATTAATGTAAGAGTTTCTCTATAGTGCAAAGAGAGGTGTCTTCTGAACTAGGGTAAAAATAGAAATGAAGACCTGGCAACTTGGCTTTTAACTCAAGTTAGCTGCTCAAGTTCAACTCCATGCTCCCCATAGGCTTTAGCTTGAGTTAAAAGCTGAGTTGCTGCTTGCTATTTTAACCCAATTTAGCTAACCCATGTTAAAAACACGCCTTTTTTTCAGTGTTGACATATCTTAAGACTTTTTTAAACCTAGCAGTTGAATATCAGTATACAGTGGTTAGATGGGGATGACAGCTTCAGTAATTTTCTGTTTATAAATATGCATGATCTGAAAGCTATAGCAGTAATTATATTTATTTACATTTGAACACAAGTGAACCACAAACTAGTGAACAATCATTTAATAGGATGAAAGTGACTTTTGTTTCACAAAGAATTTGAGTATTAACATCCGAATTTAAGTCTGAGTATAATGCTTTGATTTTGCCAAGACTCTGATGCTTACAAGGAAGAGACTAGCTTTAAAAGACTAAAGAGAAGCAAGTGTGAAGACAGAAGAAAACTGTGCAGGGATAAAAGAACTAGTCCTTTTTCAAGTCTTTTAAGAGTTCATTGCTTTTATCTATTTTTATCGACATAAATTGAGACACCATTTTACTCTGGGATTTATTCTAGTGTTGCTTTTTTCAGTATGAATTTTTTTGAGATTCATGAGGAAATTCTGCAGGTTTATCTTTCTTTTCCATGGCACCCATCAAGAAAATATATTTCTGATCTTAACTAAAGATTTTTCTTCTGATGTAATCGTATGGGTTTTTTTAATCCATGCGCACAGTTGATAAATATCTGATGTGACTTCAGAATATTCTCCATTCTTCTCTTTTAGGCTGTATTCCAGCAAGTCATTCTGGAAGAAAATATCTTGGGGAAGGAAATTCTTGAAGGCCATGTATATTGTGGAAGGCCTGTGTAAAAGTTTCCTTATATTTTAAAAGAAGTGAGATGAACTTAATCTCATAGTTGCCAATCCTATATAGTACCATGTACTTCATGAGCAGCATGAAGCCCTACTAATTTAAGTGGAGCAGTTCAGCAGCGTGCCACACAATGCAGGATCAAGGACATTCCGTGGATGTCTGCTAAGATTTTAGAAGATGCTAACAAAGATCAGTGACATAAAATTTTGTGAGATAAAACTGCACCATCCCTCTGCTTGGCCTGATCAGGGCCCAGCAATGAGAAGGGCGCTGCTGGGACTGTTTGCATGAGGGAGCTTTTAAATGTCCCATTGAAATACACACAGTAATAGCCTCCAAAAATAAACAAATAAATAAATCTGCCCCATCAAAGTGCAAAAGAATTGTGGACCCCAAAATTATATAATCTCTGCAATTTTTGCTGTATTCTCCACACTTATTTAATAAAATAAAGTAAAGCAAAATATACCAATATATTATAACTTCAGGTTTGTACCTGTGCACAGAAGATCGATACCAATAGAGCTGCTTGAATTAATTTGCTGCAGTGGCTGCTGCATGGCAATGGCTATTTCGCGCCCCAGTGCTGCAGCAAGCTCAGCACAACTCGTTTAAGCAACCTTAGTGATATACTCCTGTGGATGTAGGAACTGTATTTTCAGTAAAATGCCATATATCTTCTAATGAATATTTATGTGTTCATGATGTGTGGTCTAAGAGCAAAACCTTTCCGTAACATCCTGGGGCCTCTGCAAGATCTAAATATACTGTCAGGATTGTTGGGGTCATCTGTCATGGTGCAAATGGCTTTAAAAAAGTGGGGGGAATGGGGCAAGGAGATTTACTTATACACCTGTTGATATTTCCCCCCCTTGCTTGTACAACCACAGGATAAGCAAGAGGGGACTTTGATGACTAATTTTTATTGTAAGGTCTTGGAGGCAGGGTCTTGGTTTTTGTGTCTATACAGCACTGTGCATATTTCTGGCAAAGTAAAAATATCACCCGTACTATGCCAGACCAGATACTTCCCTGACTTGAACACAGTTAATTCCCAATAATTTTCATTTGATCTCAATTCACAATTTTGAATCATTCACTTTTTTTGGAATGGGAGGAGGGACTAGTCTTGCTGCCATCTTCCTTTCCTTCTGTGTGCAATTCATCTTACACTCAATGAACAAACTCTCCTCTACCCCACTGATTTCTGTTTGGCCCAGTTTGCGTACTTTACAGAATGCCTCATCAGTGCAAGTTAGACTAGTTTGCTACTGGTACCTTTTTTTCTAACTAGTTGACACCACTACATCAGTCTCTGTAGACTTTTCCCTTGCAGATATACATTTGTTTAAGTCTATCACTGAAAAAATCCAAGGCCATGTGCTGCTTTGTTACTCTAGTATACGTCATTGAAATCTGAGGTTCATCATTATAACTTAAAACAAAAGTCAACCCTATATTTATAACTTATTAACCTTGCAGTGGTGTTATGAGGACTAGATAACTTTTTCCCTTGCTTTTGAGACTGTAAAGTGCTGTATGTGCTAAGTATGGATATCTAATGCTATATATTGATAAAACATGGACTATATTGATGATGCTCTTGATCGTGTGAGGTGCTGAGCTCTGTTTCTGAGGTCCTCAAAGCTTATTGAAATCAGAGGGAGTAGAAGGTGCACACCATCTCATAGGATCAAACCCAACAGAAGGGAAAAATCATAAATTAAAAGTATCTCTATGTGCACCTTCTTTTTCACATAAAGAAATCATTTTTAAAACTGTTTCTTTGGTCAGACAAGGAGTATAGGAGGTAGCAATATATGAGAGATTTATTTGAAAATGTGCTGTTTCTGTTATGCCAAAGGAAGATTATCCAGTCTTTTTTCCCTTGAACTAAAGCTGCTGTTCTGTCAAATTTTTTCTTTAATTTTACAAAAGCCAGTTCATAGGCTGCTTCAGTTTCTCACAAGTTTCCCAAATTATGTCTCCCTCCTCCTTCCCCCTCTCCCTCCCCAGCAATCTTATGGCGGTATGGGCAGGCCTATCTGGCTCCAAGTAGCAGAGTCTGCTTACAGGTTCACTTTGGGCTCAGTTGCTGGAGGTGAGTGACATGTCTGTGTACTGTTTTCAAGGCTGGGTTAATGTAATATTATCTCACCAGACTAATGGAGATCATCTAAGGTGCAGTTCATTGTTTGAAAGGGTAAGAACTGGAGAGCTCTGTGAAGTGCTCTTTATTTTTACCTATGATCAGAAGACTTGGCAGAACATTGCAGTGGCACCTCTGGCTCCAGACAGTCTTCAGGGCAAAACGTTCATAATGACATAGGCTTTCTGGATGCAGTATTGCACCACCATTGATTATACTTGATGGGAGTGATACCAAAAAACATAAGAACAAAATTGGGAGGGAAAAAACTGAGGATTTTGCTGTCTGTCTACATAATTATAAACGAACTTTTTTAATTTTGTTAGCTTTTGTCAATTTTCCCCAATATAATTTTTGAATATTTTAACATGCCTTTAAAAAAATCTATAATCTAATGGTGTCGCAAGGTTTTGTCCTTCATTTTTTGTAATAGCATTTGAAGGCTTTGTGTTTGTTAATTTCAGTGACTTTTTGCTTAAGACATATTGTACGTTGGGGTGAAATTCAACCCCTTCTACTCCTACACAGCCTGAGTAAATGATCATTGTGCAGAGAACTACTCCAGGGTTGGGAGGGCCAGAATCCATCACACAACCTGCAGGAAGGGTTCAGAGAGCCACTGAACGTGTGCTTCCAGATACCCACCAGCCATGCAGCAGAACAGGTGAAGTTACACTGCATTCTGAGCCTTCTGCAGTCCTTACAACCTTTGGCAAATTTCAGACAAGGAGAACAGATTATTTTACTTATTCACTTTTCTATGGTTCTTATCACTATAATATCTGAGCACCGCACAAATACAAGTATTTATTCTTACAACATCCTTGTGAGGTTGGGAAGTATCCTCTCCATTTTACAGATGGGGAACTGAGGCATAGGGATTACATTCCTGATCCGGCAAAGACTGGCACATGCTTACTGTTACACAATGTGAGTAGTCTTATTAACTTCAGTTGATACTATTCACACTGCATACAGCCTTCTTATGTGGCGTCTCCATAACTGGAGGATTGCAACCATAATAGCCTGTTCTGTACCATCCTCTGCTAATTTCTGTGTGGTTGAATAATTCTTTTGATCCACCAAGGATATGCCACATTGTCCATCCAAGATTTCTTTTTCTGCCTAGTGTTCTGCCATCAACTTTCCCTTGCAGTGCCCGTAAACGTGCATTACCCTGTGAACCTCATGTTTTGGGTCATCGCTGTAGAAAACTAGTACTTTTTTTAACAGTCAAGTGCAATATACACACCTGTGATACTGTAGAAATAATATTTTGTAATTTTTGCTTATAGCTGTGGGTGCCACTGCTGTGTACCCCATAGACCTGGTGAAGACACGAATGCAGAATCAGCGCTCCTCTGGTTCAGTTGTGGGAGAATTGATGTATAAAAATAGCTATGACTGTTTTAAAAAAGTTTTGCGTTATGAAGGATTTTTTGGGCTTTACAGAGGTAAGTGAATAAATCCCCTTATGGAAACACCAAAAAAACCCTTAATAATCAGAACAATTCTGCTTCTATTTCATGTAGTTGAACTGAGTATGTATCTTCTCTTGATCAGTGTTATTATAAACACTTGCTTGAAAAAACAGGATCTTTGTTCCTCTGGTGCTATTTACATTGCTTGAAGTCCTAATTTTCTGGGGCATTATGGGTGCAGTGGACTTGATTGTTATCTTGCAAACAAAGGATTGTGACTGTAGGTGGGAGATAAACAGCAGGAGCAGATGAGTGTCTAAGGAGCAAAGATCCTATTTTAATGCAAATATTTGTTAGAGAAGGATGAGAAATACATAATAGATGACAGAAACAGAATCATTTGAAATGTAATGTCTGAACTAAGGGTCAAATCCTGCTCATCATACTCAAGCAAGTAGTCTCATGCTTTTAATGGTTCTGTTCACATGAGTGATAAATGGGATTTGCTCCATGATTAGTAAATGTTTCCTTAGCAAAAACTAAACATCATTCGCTAGGTGAAACCTTCCTTGTTTTTTGTTGCTGTCTACTATTGTATTAGTTCTAAAATATGAATAATATGTCTCATATTTTGTAAATTTGATTATCAGTATAGTACTGATTCTAAAGTCTAGGTTGAGAAATTAAAACTGCTTTTTATCAATCAGGTGATTCAGTGTACTCAAATATAGGTGCTGCATCTTCCGTTTTTAGCTCGGGCATATTCCAAACGACTGTTGCTATTTCAAGTCATATGGTTGAGGCCCTTCTAACTGGTCATCTGAAATCTTTGCGTTTTAACCAACCCCTGTATTCTTATTTACCATTTGGTGTAACTTAATTGTGTTCACAAAATCTTTCTCCAACTGCCATAGGAGTACTTCTTAAGTTGGTTCTTTTCCTTGGGGTGGAGTTCCTCACCTCCTTGATGCTCCCTGTCTGGGTAGTCTGCATTCTGCTGTGTCCATGGAGGCATTGATAATCTTCCAATTTTATTTAAGGAATAACCCCTGAGCAGTTTTTACACTAGGGAATCCAGTTAAAACTAGACTGCTCTGATTAAAGAGGTTTTAATAATCTCATTATTTGTTGTACGTAGTTAATGTACAACTTTTACGTTGTCTTTCTGACAGGTTTCAGAGTAGCAGCTGTGTTAGTCTGTATCCACAAAAAGAACAGGAGTACTTGTGACACCTTAGAGACTAACAAATGTATTAGAGCATAAGCTTTCGTGGACTACAGCCCACTTCTTCGGATGCATATAGAGTGGAATAAATATTGAGGAGATATATATACACA